CGCCCCGATGACAGGTCTGCCCAAGTAGACCACAACAACCATGGGATTGCTCCAACGGTTCACTGTGCTGTTGGAGAAGTACCAGGAGCAAATCGCTTAGCACAACGCCCATTGAGGTGAGCCGCCTCCTAGTGCGTTTCTTGCAACCCGCATGTTACACCGCCCACCAAAGTCGGCCACCTTGTTGTGCGTCACAGCAGACAGAAAAATTCTAAAAAACTATACATTCGGGCTCTATATCGATAATAATGACTATGTCAATAAGATTTTCCAAAAAATATTTAATGTACAGATTCGACTCAGTTAGAATTTTATTATAAGTACTAGCGGCTCACACTCGCTTCGCTCGGATTCGGCTCTAGAAAAGCACAAACAGATCTATTCCACGGGAACCGTTCATTTTTCCGGGATAAAAGTAACCTGTTGTTTGACCGGCAATATAAGGTATCAGAATCCACATTTTACTAAATTAGGTGCATAAGTTATTGTGTACTTAGCTGTATAAGTTACTATAGTTTTTCTACTATAGCTCTTTAATTTTATGAGATGAAAAGTATCTAAAATGTCGATGGGATATAAGTACCACCATGCAAAATTTCATTTAAATCGGTCCAATAGTTTCGGAGAAAAGCCCGTACAAACAGACAGAGAAACAAAATAAATTAAAAAAATCTGGATTTGGATTGGATTCTTACACCCACACAACCCCCCCGCCCCCTGACTCGGTTTTAAGCATTTTTTTTCTATGTACAAACATTCGACCTCTACAGTTTTATTATACATGTTTAAATAGAATAGATAACTGTGCTATCATACGAATTTGCAAGCAAAATAAAAATCACCATATAAATGAAACTACAATATTTTTTAATATCGTATGAAAGACGACGGAAACGGTACTTTCAGCCCAATATTGGCTTAAAGTTAATAGCGTTTCAGAATCAAAATATTAAACAAACTAAAAATACAGGTCATCTCACTACAAGAAATCAACAAGCCTCTCGTCACAGATTTGAACAAATTATGTATCTTGTAAGTGTAAAAACCGTCCCGTTATTCTTATACTCATATCTCGCGTCTGTCCAAAATATTGTATAAGTATGTAATGAGTACAAAGTACAGTATAACTTCAAGATATGTGGGTTATAAAAAATCATTTCTTTATTTCAATAAAGAGTTAACGATAAAATATTTCAAATCTACATCTACATAGATATATTCGATATTGCGATTAACAATTATTTTTGTAGCAGTTTCGCCACGTTTATAATACGAGACATTTAATGAATAAGAATATTCACTACTAGCCATGCATCTGTCCATGATTTATCCTATTGTTCTACTGTCAACCGACTTCCTCAAAAAGGAGGAGGTTCAATTCGGCTGTATTTTTTTTTATGTTTGTTACCTCAGAACTCCGTCATTTATTAAGTGATTTGGATAATTTTTCTTTTGTTTGAAAGTGTATACTTCCAGATTGGTCCCATTTAAATTTCAAAAAAAAACCACCCCTAAGGGTGGAAAAATAGCTAACGATGAATTTAACCTACTACTAATTGTCATATTGACTTGAAACTTTGCAAGTGTTTCTATTTCCGTTGATAGTACAGTGGTTCGGTATTGTTGACCTGGTCTGATGGTAAGGCCAGAAGGTGGATAGGTGGAACTCTTCAACGGCTAATAGTAGATACTTTGAGTTTGGGCTTATTTTGTTTGATTTTACAAGCCTAACACTTTAGAATCGGATTTTAAATAATAAATAAATAAATATGTTGGAACATTAACACACAGCACCATCTAGTTCCATGGTAAGCTGCGAGACCTGTGTTATGGATACCAGATAGTTGACACATATATATGTTAAACTGCCTCGGTGGTGTAGTGGCAAGTATGTACGGCTGCACACCCGGAGGTCCTGGGTTCGAGTCCCGGGTCGGGCCAAGTTTAGTTATTGAGTCTTCCTGTATAGTAAGTCTCAGTAACAGCCCGGAGTTGGGAAGTTGGCGGTGTTTCACCCCCGTGCCTCGGAGAGCACGTAAAGCCGTCGGTCCTGCGCCTTAACTCTCACCGGTCGTGTCGAGTGGTCGTCCCACCGGAGTATGAGAGTGATAGGAATAGAGAGTGCACTTGTGTCTGCGCGTACACTTGAGCACTATAATATCTCCTGCGCAGTTGGTTAATCTCATTGAGATTGGCCGCCGTGGCCGGAATCGGCTAGGAGAACATCATCATCATCATGTTAATCATTAAATACATACATATTATAAATATAAATATAAACACCTATGACTGGAGTACAAACATTCGTGCTGATCACACAAATGAATGCCCCCAGCGGGACTCGAACCCGCGACCGCTGACACAGCAACTAGGGTCACTACAAACTGAGCCAAGTGTGTCGTCAAATTTTAGAGTCAGAATTTTTGGTGTTACTAATAAAAGCGAATTTTAGTTTGTAAGTCTTCGTATAAAAATTGGCTTCAAAGTAACATTAACGGTTTAAGCGAATATTTTATTAAAATACTTTATTCTTACTTTGCTACTACTATGTCTACACTAAAAAGGGGAAAATAAAAACTTTTTAACAAAAAAATTAAAACTGACTTCAAAAAAAGCACTAAAAAGTAAAAAATAACTGATTGGTAGTTTTCATTTACTATACATACCTAATCAAATATTTTCGAAGTCGGTGCCAGCCGATACAAAGCAAAGCACACCCGACTTCGAAAATATTTGATGTTAGGTATGTATAGTAAATGAAAAGTACCAATCAGTTATTTTTTTACTTTTTAGTGCTTTTTTCAAGTCGTTTTTTATTTTTTTGTTAGTTTTTATTTTTTTCCTAGTTTTGATTGCCCATGTTATTATAGGAATATCCATGCATATAGTAAAATAGTATAAAAGCAAAATGTGTCTAGAAATATTTTTTAAAAACAAGGACTGTGATCTATTGCGTACAAAATATAGACTCCAAAAACTATAGTTGTTGAAATTTTTGTCTGTTTGTCTGTATGTTTGTTTGTTTTTATATATGTCTGTTTGTACCTAAAGGATTTGAACTAAATTTGGTGTAGCAATAACTTATTACTCGGGTCAACATTTAGAATACATTTTACTACATGAAAATCATTCCTACGGGAAAACACAACAACTGTTGCGGCCGAGTTATTTCATAGAAAAAATTCAATGATTTATTATATATAACAATTAGTAATAGGGTTGACAAAATAAAACAAATAAAACATAAATTAAAAAATTAAAAAACCCACGACGGAAAATTGGGACATAAAAACTTAAAATAAAAAATTTCAAAAACTCAAGACATTCCGGCGTCCATTCGGCATTCGTTGTCCAGTCGTCATGCGTAACGTACGAGATTTTTTTACCAGTTTTTTTGAGTTTTCAGTTTTTTTTAAAATAGTAAAAAAAATGTAATAGCTTTTAATTAGTGCGATAGAGTAATTAATGTATAGAAAAGTCCGACAGCAAATTTCAAGTATTTTTTTTTTCAATAGAACTTGAGATATCATGACAAGTCTCAAAAAAATTTGGCCATAGGATGGAAACAATCACATAAGAATAATCTAGATCGGTCAAAATCCATACACAAACAAATAATGCTCTCAGAGATTATGTATTATTAACATTTTGCGCAATGGCAAAGTCATTCTATTTATTAAAGAAATAAAGATATTTATATTATATAGGAATGTTTAAAATATTGATACGTCTATAATAAATATAAAAAAATATAAATTGTAACTAAGTCGAATCTGTATTTATATATTTTTTGGAAAATCTAATTGAAATAGACATTATTATCGATACAGAGTCCGAATCTATAATTTTTAGAATTTTTGTCTGTCTGTCTGTCTGTCTGTCACCCGCATAACGAGAAAACCACTGGACAGATTTTTATGAAATTTGGTCAACCTATAGGATACTTTTTACTACGGGAAAATATCTCATTTCTGAGAAAAAATACAAAAAACTGCATTGTAAAAGTATACTAATCTGTAAAACCTAAGAATTTGGTTTTTGGTCATATGAACGCGGGCGGAGCCGCGGGCAATGCTAGTAATAACATTTTATAGGGAACTATCACTATAAAATGTTATTTAAATAATTAGTTAACAATTATTTATGACAAAGTTATTGGATAGATGTTTCCATTTATAAGTACTGAAAAAATTAACCGACTTGGTTTTACATTAGATCTTAAGACTTTTTGCGGTAGAAAAACTGCGTCGCGAAACTCGCATTTCTTACATGTTATATTTTTCATGGGATTTTATTATTTAAATAGCTGTTCTACAATGTAAATTACATAGATTCATTATTTACATTCAGATAAATTGTCTAATATTATAAATGTGAAATTTTATATGTGTATGTGTTTATCCTTCACGCTGAAAGAGTTGAACGGCATTGAAAAAAAATTAGTACACAGATACTAGAATGACTGAGACTATTATGATTTATAACCCTTTTTTAACGTTAGGAAATGCATTTACGCATAACCACCTGCATACATACAGTAGATTATGTGGTACTCACCGGCCAGGAGAGCCATATATATATATATATATATATATATATATATATATATATATATATATATATATATATATATATATAATGGCGAAGCCGCCAGTGCTCAAAAATGAAGTTTTCAACGAAAAACTTTTTAGGTGACGTACCACATAAGTTACGTCAGTGGTTAAGAGTTAATTACTTTAACTCGTTTTAAAACATTGTTGTTACTAATTATAATAATAGTTACAGGCTAATTGTAATTACAGCTATGACGTATTGTTTTATGATTTGATTAGAATGAAATTGAATATGGAAAGATAAACATTTATTCGTTGTTTACATTAATGAAACTTGCGACCTCCCTGCATTAGTTTCAGCATTCGTTCAATTTAAGTTAAAGCAAATACAAAGTAACTAAAACAGTGTGTTATCCATTACTTCACAGAAAAAGAAAACTAGGCAAAATGACTGCATTGACATTTACGAGCACCACTCACACGAAGGCAGATTGCGACGCCCCTTCTAGGATACAAGGCAAAAGAAGAGACTATGAGTAAGTAATATCTGATACTTAAAGATATGCTGCCATACATCTATACTAATATTATAAAAAGGTAAAGTTTGTGAGTTTGTACGGGGTAATCTCTGGATCTACCGAACCGATTTAGATGAAATCTGGTACGAAGATAGTTTGAGACTTTGGGAAGGACATAGGGTACTTTTTATCCCGGAAATCATCCTTCAAGGGGGTGAAAATTGGGTTGAAAGTTTGTATTGGGAAGCAAGTTAAGGACGAACCCGAGCGAAGCGAGGGTGGGTCGCTAGTTTATTATAATTTTATCAGTGTTTATCGCTTACATCATTTGAAAATTGAATAACTAATTACAAGACTTGCAAGATGATATTGCAAGCTCTAAAAAGTGTGAGCTTATAAGTACAGGTTATAATCGATTTCCCTTTGACGTAGGCCTCTTTCAAAAATCGCTATATTAAATTTTATATACATATTTCCTTCTTAATATTTTAATAAATTAATATTCATCTAGCTCTTATAAAACGCTCTTATAAGGGTTTATTTCTATTTTCTTTTGTTTATTGTCATGAAAAGTTCGAATCAAAATGCTTGGCAATTCTGAACATCATCAAAAATAACTTGACAGCAAAAAAAAATTTTCAAATACAATAATAGTGAAATCTCTTGACAATTTGTAATATTTTTTTTTATTTTTAGCCTGTAACTTTTCCCGAATATTTTTACTCTTATAAATTGATAACTTGTAAATTAAATTGATATACATGAATTCTTTATTCTTTTGGCAACCACTGTTTTTTTACAAATAAACTTTTCTAAGCGTATTTTTATGTCGACTTCGATGAAAGAACATTAAACTTCTTATGTAAAGAACAATAGCAAATTACCCATTAATAAACTAAGCTGATAGAGTCATGAGAAATTAACCAATTATATTCAATAATAACAACAAATGAAAATTAATAATTAATTTATGTGTTTTTAGATGGCAAATAGTGTGGAGAAACGTGCTAGCTTTTGTTTATCTACACGCAGCTGCATTATACGGAATTTACTTATTACTGACTGGCAAAACGAAGACACTTACTTTTCTATTTGGTAAGTTATTGAATTAATTGTTTTAACATGTATAGACATTAGACAAACAGCTAATATTTCTTAAAATAGCATAGATAATTTTTACGGAATGAAGTAATTAACTTATTTTACCGGTGGTAGGACTCTTAGTTAGTCTGAGGAGTCCGACTGGATGGGTACCACCCCCTTATCTATTTCTCCCGCCAAGCAACAATGATACCGCTACCGCAGGTACGACAGGTACCGCTTTCCATCAGGTGGGATGTCTGCTCGCTTATCGCTGACTATCATAAAAAAAAGTGATATTATTACTTATACCTCTTAAAGTAGTCTTCGGATGTCAAGTGCCAGTCAGTTAGGGTCAAGTTAGTCATAACACTGTATTGAGTGATAATGTATTTTTTACAGCTTTGATATTCGCAGCAATGTCAGCGATGGGTGTAACAGCAGGTGCACATAGACTTTGGGCGCATCGAGCTTATAAAGCTCGATGGCCACTCAGACTGTTCCTGGCCGTCATGCAAACAATGGCCTTTCAAAATCATATATATGAATGGGTTCGCGATCACAGGTATTTTTTTATATAAAGTAATAATTATATAACAAAAATGAATAGCATAAATTGTATGTATATTTATTATTAAGAAATTTACTAAATAACAATGTACAGTAAACTTAACAAAGTACTTTAAAAATCGATAGAACAATGTAATAAAATCATAATAAGTTTATCTAAATCACTCTAGATAATTTCCTTATTATATAATATATTTCTTGAAGTTTGTGTATGTATGTATGTTTGTTTGTTTGTATTGTATATTTATATTAATGTTTGTAGTTTGTACCTACACCGTATATGATTTTTTTACGCTCGAGGGTTTCTGGTAGAGATCTCTTAAAGAGATAAGTCATCCTTTGTATAAAATTAAGTAAAATTAAATTTCATGACCAAGAGCTTAAATTTAACGTCTTGGTCATGAACTTTGAAAGGCTAATATTTAATTTAATTAGTGATCATATTATCGCAAAGTAGCAACGTTAACTAATATTTGAAGTGCTGTTAATGGTAAAAACTGAGTAGTTAATAGCTGATTAAAAGAAATTTGGTCATATTGACTCTTAGCGCCATGAGAGAAAGTGATGCCTATTTTTCCCCTTTTCATTAGTCTTTGTGTCCATTATGTCTCTGTTTCCATTCCGTGAAAATTCGCGTTGACGTTAACACACCTGAATAGGTAGAAACTCATTCTCGAAATGGAAATGGCACTTGTGACTTCCGAAGTAGAAAACGCCACGTCGCAAAATATCCACATAGCTGATATATTTTTTTTTAAATAGGGTACACCACAAATTCACGGAGACAGATGCGGATCCACACAACGCTCGCCGTGGCTTTTTCTTTTCTCACATAGGCTGGCTGATGGTGAGGAAACATAAAGAAGTGTTCGAAAAAGGAGCTACAGTCGACATGTCCGATCTTGAGAAAGACCCCATCGTTATGTTCCAGAAAAAGTAAATAACAAATAATTAATATTTATTATTTCTACTATTTTATTGATCAATATACGTTAGCTCACATAAAAAATAGAAAGAGCTGTATCAGTGAGTTTTAGTTGTAGAGAGCTTTAACAATAACATTTTATGCCGTCACATATTTCCCTTTCACTTCATAAAGTGGGATTGTTTATTATAATTAAGACCTGCATTATAAGTTAAGTTTCCTGATAAATAATTTTCATCTTTCTCATTTTATCAACGTAATGAATAGTCATGAATCGAGTCTACTCGAAAGTACGGTTTAGCTTAGGATTTTTCTAACTTGGACTAAGTATACTAATATGAAATAGCGTATTTTAACTGCTTGTGGACTACAGGCAATTAATACACTATTTCATATAGTATAATATAATTAGAATTAGAAAATCTGAAATAACGTCTTTCTTCACTCCTCTGACGTTGAACAAATTTATTTAATATAAAAAAAAATTATAAACAAATTGTATTAGCCTTGGGTGTTTGATGTTTATGTAAGCGTAAAACCAATTATTAAAAAAAGGCACAATGGAGTGCTCGTATATTGTAATTATATTACAGTGAGATAAAATACATTTTAATATAAAAATTGTAATTAATTATAATAATTGAAGAAAAAATTGATCAAAAAAGCTATTACCTACTCTCTTTCAGGTAAAAAATAGGTACAACTTTTAATATATGAATTCATTAATTTTACAATTACCTAAATATATAAAGTTTCAAATAATTTTGTCGTACTAAAAAGCTTCAAAGTGATTTGCATAATGTTATAATTTCGTAAAGTTTCGATTTAGTGTATCGCGATTCGCGATAGTGTTTGTGCAGTAAGTCACGTAGACGTTCTTACTGAACTATTGACTGACGTCAGACAGCAGGATATTCGGTCGAAATTATATTTCTTAATGTATTTCATTTTTACAAGTTTCTATTTAGTTTCACCCGTCCTGGTCTGTGTAATGGAATCTTGTAAGTTAATTTTTTTGTTAAATGTTTTAGTAAGCCAGGTGCGACGCGACGCACACAGGAGTATTCGATCTCAAAATCCGGTCAAAATTATTTTTGCTAATTTCTTATTGGAAATGATAAATAAAGTTAATTTTATAACTATAAGGAGTATTTAATATTATAATGTTAATGTTTGTTAGGTTTAATGAAACAAAATAAATAAATAAGATTTATTTTTAACACCTCCAGGTAAATTTCTAAGAAATTAATTAAATTTCTAAGAAATCTATTGTTAACTGTAACGCCGGCGTGTCCGCGGTCGTGGAGGAATTAATATAATGAAATTTGATTTTAATATAAAACATTCACCTACAGCTATCTTGGATATCTTCCGGATCCATTTATAAAAACAATTTTATTGTTTCTGGTAAGAAACTCCCGCTGATCTTAAGTTTCTGCCGTTTTCGCCCACAGTTTAAAAATGGGTCAGAAGTTGGCAGAAGCCTATTTAATTTGTCTCTGTTAGAAAATACCCTTATAATTCGATGACCCTTGAAAATCGAGACTGATTTTCAGGACATTTCGTAGTCTCCCGTATTTTATGTTCCATATCTAACAACTTTCGATATAGTTTTCGATTATTTCTATCTTCAAAAAAGCATTTACAATGACTTTCTAGACATTTAACACCAAACCTAAAATGAAAAACAATCTTTTAAGTAAATTAGTAAATCGGCAAAAAATACCTCCACAGTAGAAACTGTCGGTAAAAAAACGGTGACAAGATGGGTGACATATTTCTACGTAAATAGCATGATGAAGGTATATAATTAACTACAAAAATTAAATATTCGCCCGACCAAACCCGAAACTATTAAAAACACCTTTTTTCTGAAGAAAATATCAAAAATATTCATATTTTAGTACGTTCTTTTCATCTTAAAAAATAAACGAAACATGAAGAAAAACAAATGTATTTTAATGTTACAATTAAGAACATACCTTGAAATAAAATCCACAAATCACGATAGATTACTTAAAACATGAACTGTAATGTTACTGATGAGAAGATATTAAAACTAAAGACGCGTGAATTTTGACATCGACTAGATTCGGACTACCTACACCTCGAGCGGGCAGTTAGCAGGTATTGTTTGAACCTGGTTTTCGCTAGCCCGGTAAGTGAGGTATTTAAATAACGCAAATTGAGTATCTAATGCATGTTTTTTTAACCGACTTCCAAAAAGGAGGAGGTTCTCAATTCGTCGGAATCTTTTTTTTATGTATGTATGTTCACCGATTACTCGAAGACGCCTGAACCGATTTGGAAAATTTTTCATCATAAATTTTTATAAATAATCAATAAATATATTTTTTTAATAAATTGTTTGATCGAATAATATGTTATTAATGATTTTTCAAAAAACCGCTCGACCGATTTCGATAAAATTTATATGGGACCACCTGGGAAGTATACCTACTCTTTGAAACAAAAATATATATTTTATTTTTCTTATAAGTATGGTACATAATATTATTTGCATTAAGTAATAAGCTGTTATTTTGACAATACAAGCAGACTCTTCAATTTTATTTATTTGTATAAATATAATAAGATATAATAGATATACTAGCGACTCACCCTCGATCCGCTCGGGTTCGTCCCTACTTACGTTTTAACGCTTAGCGTAGATTTCTCAGAGATGAGATATTTTCCCGCAGTAAGAAGTATACTATATGTTGACCTAGATAACCAGCTATCATCATACCAAATTTTATCAAAATCCCTCCAGTGGTTTTTCCGTCATGCGGGAACAGACAGACAGACAGACAAAAATTCTAAAAACTATAGATTCAGCCTCTGCATCGATAATAAAGTCTATTTCAATAGATTTTCCAAACAATATTTAATGTATAGATTCGGCTTAGTTACGATTTTATTATATGTACCTATAGACTATTTCATGTACATTAATATTAATTTAAAAAAAAATAGCTGCTGCTTCTTCTTAGTATCATTAATTGCTATCATAATAAACTATATTTAACGCAACTATGAACTGCCGTACCTATTCTATTGTTTACTGGAAGGTAATTGCTTGGCAAGTATTATAATATGCGTGAATAACAACCAAATTAAATTTTATTTATTGTTCCGCTAAGCACGGCTTTCAATATTTACATACATGTGTATATTGTCACATAACACCTAAATTGCGTGTGCCCAGCTTATTCACGTACTCGTATAGTGCTCGTAGATATTAATTAAATTATCTATCTTATTCTTAGTTATTGGGTTAAGTTATTATAATCTTCTCTTTTTGTTGATTCTACATATTTCGTTAAAGCTCATTAGTTGAGTTAATAGTTTTGAAACGTTTTTTTTCTGAAAATCTCTTGATTAACAAAAACTTGCTAGGGACAGCTTTATAAATTACTAGCGACTTACCTTCGCTTCGCTCGGGTTCGTCCCTGGCTCGCTTCCCAATACAAACTTTCATCCCCATTTTCAACCCCTTAACGGATGATTTCTAGGATAAAAAGTATCCTATGTCCTTCCCAGGGTCTCAAACTATCTTCTTACTAAATTTCATCTAACTCTATTCAGTAGATGTAGAGATTACCACCTACAACGTCACAAATTCACAAACTTTACCTCTTTATAATCTATATTATAATAAAACTGTAGAGGTCGAATGTCTGTACATTGAAAAAAAATGATAACAACCGAGTCAGGGGGATGTAAGAATAGAAATAGAACAGATCCAGATTTTTTTCAATTTTTTGTTTCTCTGTCTGTTTGCCTGTTTGTACGACCTAATCTCCGAAACTGACCGATTTAAATGAAATTTTGCATGGTAATACCTTAATATCTTCGGTCAACATTTTAGATACTTTTCATCTCGGAAAATTAAAGAGTTCCCGTGGGATAGTTAAAAACTATAGTAACTTATACAGCTTACAATTAGTACACAACAACTTATGCACTTAATTTAGTAAAATTTGGCATGCTGATAGTCTGGTACCTTATATTGTCGGTCAAACAACAGGTTACTTTCTATCCCGGAAAAATGAACGGTTCCCTTGGGATAGATCTGTATGTGCTTTTCTAGAGGCGAACCCAAGCGAATCGAGTGTGAGCCGCTAGTATTAAATATTAATACAGATAATACAGTAACCACAGTTTCAGAGCGTTAAACGAGAAATCCGGATCAGAGAAAATACTTCCATATTGATTATAAACCCATTTGCAAAAGAAACGGGCACTCGAAACTTTTCTGTACAACTATGGAAATCTTAAACAAAAGAGGTTTTATATGCATTCAATTAATTTGAAACAATTGTCTACGTATTAAAAAGTAGTGGCAAGTAAAATAAAATGGTCCAAATTTCAAAATTTCAAAGTTTAAAAAAAATATTCTATTCGATTTGAGCATTTGCTCGCAGTTGTGTTTAGATATTGTGCCATAAATAAATAAAAAAGGCTTTTTTGTCATCTTAATGAATTGATGTTGATGTAAAATTGTTTAAATTGGTTATTCGTGATAAATTTTATACCGTAATATGGCAGACAAGACAATTATCGCTGGTAATATAGTGATTCTTCTTCAAGATGGCTGTACTCAATGTTATGTGTCGAAACGGTTTGGTGTCAGTCGCTCCACTGTTCACAGGACCTTTTTTTTTTTATCGTTGGGAAATGCATTTACGCACGACGTGTGGGACTCACCGGCGTAATACAGCCAGTACTACCCACTAAAACCCAACAAAACCTTCCTCCGTCTTCATGGGGCGTCGCAGGATCGCTTACGCATTCAACTACGACGCCCCGACGGCAGGTCTGCCAAAGCAGACCACCACAACCATGGGGTCGCTCCAAAGTCCACTCTGCTATCAGAGAAGTACCAGGAGCAACCCGCATGATACACCACCCCCCGAAGAGGGCCACCTCCCACCGCCCACCGAAGTGGGCAACCTCCCCGTGCGTTTCTTAGCTTCGCGCCCGGTTGGATTGCCGGGCACTACTGAGCCCCCCCACCACGACAAGGTGAACGCACGTTGGGGGGGACTGTTCACAGGACCTGGACTAGGTTTCAAGAAACCGGTTCTATGAAAAGAAGACCGAGATCAGGAAGGAAACGATGTACTAAGCCCAGGGGCAATCGATATATTGTGAGCCAAGTTTTACGAAATCGGAAGTCTACCTACAATAACATCAAAAACAATCTTAAAGATGTTAGAAATGTGAGTGTTAGCGTATGGACTGTCAGGAGGAGACTTCTAGAAGTTGATATACACAGTTGAAGACTAGCTAGGGGTCCTAAATTACTCCGTGGGCACCGTTTTGCTAGCTTAAGATTTTCCCAAAATTGTGCGACATGGACCGATGTAGAATGGAGCAAGGTTTTATTTTGTGATGAAGTCAGAATCTCTTTATTTGGTGAAGATTGACGTCGTAAAGTGCTAAGAAGACCAGGAGAACGTTATGCAGAGGTATGTTTTGAAGAAATTAAGCTGTACGGTGAGGGCTCTGTCATGTTTTGGGCTGGAATAACTTCTGAAGATCGTACAGAGTTAGTTTTCGTAAAAAATGGCTCTCGAAATGCACAACGCTATATTACGAAACACCTAATTCCTCATGCACAACCAGCGTTAGCTGTGACAGGAAGTGCTGCTGTGTTTATGGACGATAATGCTCGAGTACACCGAGCGGGCGACGTACACGCTTACTTAAGTGAAGTCGGGATCCGCCGTTTAGATTAGACAGCACGAAGTCCCGACCTCAATCCCATTGAGCATCTATGGGACTTTCTAAAACGACGTGTTAGAGCTGTACACCCTGCGCCACAGAACATCCAAGAGCTTAAAATTGCTATTACGGCCGAATGGGAGCGTATTCCCCAAGTACTCATAAAAAAACTCGTCCAAAGCATGCCACGAAGAATTGCAGCAGTTATTTCAGCCAGAGGAGGCCACAATCAATATTAATTTTTTATTTTATTGTTTGTAACTTTTAGTAAATAAAGGAGAAAGTCAATTGAAGTTACCTTATTTTTTTGTCAAAATGAGTAATTTCCTAAAAATCAAAATAAAACAAACTAAGATCGACTTAATTACCAAACAAAAGTGTTTTTACATCAGTAAATAATATTTATTTTATTTTGTTGCATCAAATCTCTTTTACAACTGTTAATACTAAAAGTACTCGAATAAATCAAAAGTGCCCGTTTTTTTTGCAAAGGAGTGTATTAAGTGTTATTTTTTTTAATTAAATTTCATTTAGGTGAAATTTAATTATCTACTAGTAGATTGAATTCTAACGTCGCAGCGTCGCATCAGTCTCACTACATTATGTAAATTAATAATAAAAAAATGTGCTCGACAAAACAACAAGACAAATATAGGAAAGTACGATAGTGAAATTCTGTAAGAGAAAATTTAAGACTATATAAACTAAACTAGGTTGTAGCTTTATGTGATGCAGATAATTTAAATAGTCGTGTAGTTAGTCAAGTGTCAAATTATTATCTATACTAACGTTAAAAATCGAAGACTGTATCCTTATTTGTTTGAATGAGCTGGCTACTAGTAGCCAGATTTAGTAAGATCTATTTGCGTTTTATAGCTTTTTTATGAGGGAGTTTATCTGGTATCATGATATGACCCTTAGGAATACAGCCATTATGCATAAAAAGTAATAACTACGCGAAGAGAACCCTTTTTTTTAAAGTTGGGAAATCCTATTACGGATACCACCCGACTTCCCCCGGGGTGGTTATGTGGAGACTCTCCGGCTAATGAGACCGGCATACCCACTAAAACCCAACTTCCAATAATAAAAGTAAGCCTTAAACTAAAATTATAGCAATCATTTCATCTTCCGTGTAATTCCAAAACATAACTGATTAGTGACCTTCCTGTTCGATGCAGCCTTAGAGAGCGAGGGTAATTTCAGTGGTGTGGTCTGTATATTTCCATTGGTATTTAATTACTCTTGAGGGCGAAGCGACAGGTGAAAGAACTTAAAATTTTGCTGATGTTAGATAGATTTGCACTGATTTTAAATTCTATAATTTCAGAGCATTTTTGGTGGTGATGCCGCTGCTTTGCTTCATTCTACCTGCATGGATTCCTGTGGTGTTATGGAATGAGAACCCCTGGTCTTCGTGGTATGTGGCCTCCATTATGCGGTATACTATCAGCCTGCATTTTACCTGGCTAGTGAACTCTGCCGCTCACATATGGGGTAACCGACCTTATGACAAGTGAGTATTTAAAAATTTATTTATTATTACTTTCATAAATTTACGCGAATATTTAAAGCTCTCTTTCCGGATGCTTCGCGATTTTTTTATAATTGAAAAACCTTTTTTAATGTTCTATCCCCATCGTTATTTTTCATTCTATCCGATGTTAATAAAGTAAATCGTGTTCAATTGTCACGTTTAACAGGAATATGTATAATTTTTTTTTATTTAAACATTATTACGAGTATATTATGTATAAAGTGGGTGGACCATGGGAGCCCACCTTCTTCTAATTCTTTTATTTATTGAATAAATGAAACAAAAAAATTATTAAGTAACACTTTGTTCTACAAAACATACAATTTATTAAGTAACAGTCGGGTTTGTTACAACACATAGGTATAACTCGAGAACTGATGGACCGATTTTCATAGTTTTTGATTTGTTGCATTTGTCTCCGCCTCGAATAGCAGAATAACTATTAAAAAAATCAGAAAATTTTGACATGACGGAAAAAAAATATTACATGGCTAACGCTGGCTAATAACTATTTATATCTATGTATTAAAAAGTACCTAGGGACGAACCCGAGCGAAGCGAGGATAAATCACTTATATTTATATTATACTAATTAGTATTTATATTATACTTATTTATATTATACTTAGTAACTTATAAATCTCTAGCAATTTATTCTATATTTTTTGATATTCATATCAAATTAACTTATTGATTATGGTAAAAAGTTGTCAGTATACAATAATTATCTTTGATTTAATTTCGTTGCTCTACTCTGATTCTACTTAACCGCAATAAGAAAAATGTGCCCTTAACTTTCACCTTTCACTATGTGTAAAATGCTTTGCTTCGTAAAATGAAACTCGTGTTGAGCTTAATGATCTTGCTGCCAGATAATTTACTCTGAATAATATAAGAGAAAGTAAATTTATAAATTTATTTAAAAAAATATTTACAATAATAGGAATACGTCCGTAATTCCTCCGTCAATATCGTCCAAGATGACGAAAAAAATTCTGGTAAAGTTTGAAGCTCTTAATATTATTAAGAGGTGGGTCATCGTGAGTCTTGATTTTTCATATATAGTCATAATATATAAATAACAAGGGTTTTTTATATATTTTTTTGGAATTTTAATACGCTCAAACGAATTATTATCTATAAATTAAAAATATATTCTTAATACTTTCTTAGATTTACGCGAATATTTGACATTTTAAACAACACTATCTTTTCAGATTTACATAATATTCTTGTAGAGAATTAAACGAACAAAAAAGATCTGAAATAATTTTTTGCTTAGTCGACTCGTAAGACATAAAGTATCATATTTTTTGTGACTTTTCTCGTTTTTATCCCACTAATACATAGAGAAAAAAATATATTTTTGCACGATTCAAATAAAAATCGTTGGAAAGTTTTAAAGTAGTTGGAAGTACCGTTATGATGTTTAATTTTATTATTTTGAATATTTCTTAATTCGTTATTTAAAATTAAGTTATTACTATTTCTATATTTTACCGCTAGAATTACTATAATTGTTGATTTGAAAGCCAGCTTTCTGGCATTATTTACATATAAATAATACTTTAGATTACGTTAATCTTGTTCAACTTTGTTTATTGTGTGAGATTATAAGTAGTTTGTTCGTGTGTGTTGAACATACTTTTGTAGCATTTATTTATATTTGTGGTATTGCTATTCCAGATACATAGGAGCTACTGATAATATGACGGTAGCAATCTGCGCATTCGGCGAGGGCTGGCACAATTATCACCATGTATTTCCATGGGACTATAAAGCCGCTGAACTTGGAAATTATCGTACAAATTTATCAACAGCTTTAATTGATATCGCCGCTAAATATGGTAAGAAAGTACCTACCTACTCTCCTTTACGTTTCCGATATAGCTTGTTTATCTTTAGGTCATGGTTTTCATGGTAAAAAATATTGACTTATACGTGATCCTGTAAGCGTTAAAGCGTATATTTGTGACCTTATTTCATTTATTATATTAATAACAATAATATTTATACATATAATAAGATAACATCTATACATATAATAAAATTGTAACCAAGCCGAATCTGTACATTAAATATTATTTTGGAAAATCCTATTGAAATAAACATTATTTCCGATACAGAGGCTGAATCTATAGTTTTTAGAATTTTTGCCTGTCTGTCTGTCTGTCTGATCACAGAAAAACCACTGGCGGGATTTTGATGAAATTTGGTATGGTAATAGCTGGTTATCCGGGTCAACATATAGGATACTTTTTACCGCGGGAAAATGTCTCATTTCTGAGAAAAAGAACAAAAACTGCAATGTTAGAGTATACTAATATGTAAAACCTAAGAATTTGGTTTTTGGTCATCTGAACGCGGGCGGAGCCGTGAGCAATGCTATTCAATATATAATTTTATAAGTAGTGGTTAATGAGTGTATAAAATGAGAATTATCATTTATTTTCAGATCATAATAAAATTAGCTGTACTTTATTTAATTTATTACGAAAATAAATTATGAAGTCTGTTTACATTTTTAAATATTTATAAATAAATCAAAACTTTTCTGTTTTTACCCCTGTCTTGTTTTATAGGTTTAGCGTACGATCTCAAGACTGTGTCAGTAGAAATGATTCGGAAGCGAGTCGCAAGAACAGGCGACGGTAGCCATCCCTACAATAAGGAAATTGAGAAAGACGATGATGATCATTATCATCCAGAAAACCCAATATGGGGGTGGGACGATCAAGATATGACCGAGGAAGAAAAAAAGTTTGCGGAAATCGCTCATAAAATAGACTAATATTATTTAATTTCGTGTATTACAATGAATTGAAAATATATCAAAACGGCTTTAACGTTTAAAGTTATTACTTATTACATTTGATATCTTTTCTATTCGTTTCTCATTGACTGATATTATCATTATTGCTTAGTTCTGAAAGTTCTAAGACTAACTTGAGTTTAAATATCGATTCTTATGTGTTATTGCTTATTTGAATAATGATAGAGTATGTAAGAGAATATGGTAATTACTTGAGTATATTGTAAATTAATTGTACAGATCAAGTACAAAATTAAAATATTATAACTTATACAAGTTTTTAGTGAGTAGTGTGTTACAAATACACCTACAAATGAATAATACCTTAATTTAAGTTTCCAAGCATTCACAAATTAATGTACCTACCTGCTAAATAATTATGTAACTCAATGTTTGATGTTTATCATTATCATCGATTGGGAAATAAATTTCACAGGTAAAATGTATTATGAATATGTAATTGTAATTAATCATCCTATCCTTCTGCAAATATTTTGTTTAAATTTTAAGTAAATTATTTTCTATGGAGTTGGTTATTAATCTAAGTTAGACGTTAAATATTTTTGAATTTAGTTTTTTCGCGTATATTGGAGATGTATGTCTGTCTATCATTTTTCGTGCATCTGATGAGAATATCTTTAAAGGTTACATTGGACTTATAATAAAGTATTATTATGTACGTATGTACGTCGAAGTTTAGTTTTTATTTTTAACTTATAGTTTAAATCGTCACAGTATCGCAAAAATATAAATACGTTTGGAAATTATTAATTGTAAAAAAAAATAAACAGAATACATTAAAGCTGTTTAAACATCATTTTGATATCTTTTCGGTTGCTTGGTACGACATCACAAGCCATGCTTATCACAGTTTTTTATTCCCAAACAGCTAGCTGCTATTATAATATTGTGAAAGATACTAAAAAAGCATTTTTTTCTCAGCACTACCACTACTACTACCACTCAAATGTTATTTTAATATAATTTTGTTAACCTCTAACATCACATTTAATTTTTAAGACGAGTGCCGAATTGATATATAATGTATCTTTTTATTTATATATATATATATATATATATATATAAATAAAATGAATGTTGCTAAGCGCAAAACTCGAGAGCGGCTCGAACAATTCAGATAATTTTTTTTCCTATGTTCCTTAAGGCACACGAAAAGTTTAAATAAAGAGAAAAATATAAAATAAGATGTATATAAAACAAAGTCGTGTTAGTTACACCATTTATAACTCAAGAACGGCTGGACCAATCTTTATGATATTTGATTTTTTGGATTTCTCTTAGTCCGGAATAGGATAATGAGTATTAAAACATCAGAAAAATTAACGAAAAAATAAAAGTATATGTCTAACGCCAATAACTATTTATATCTATTTAAAAAAAAAGCGAGGGTGAGCCGCTAGTACCTACTTAATAAATGTAGATGATAAAAAAGCAAACCGTCGAGTCTTGCTATACACATAATTATATGAAAGTAAAATTAATCAATACTTATAAAAATGCGCTGCATCTGCATCGTTGGAAAATATAGATATAAATAATTTTGTTATTAGATACATAGGTATATTTGACCAAATCCAAGTATCATCGATATATCCTATTCATTAAAAGTGTCTGAATTCTATAGGTATAACAACTGTGCTTAAATATGAATGGTTTAAGCAGAATCATACATAGATGAAGCTGTAATTTGTACGCGTGCAGAATCGGAATCCATATTTAGTGGTGAAGGACTAATAGAAATATACAAATAAGCGAAACCGCGCGCTGGCAGTTGCAGTCAAAATGTAAAATAAATATTGTTAAGGGTTTATTTAATAAAAGAACAATATTTAATAATAATTTAATAAATACTTCAAAAGGAAACATTGATTTTTATTTTAATAATTTTCTTAAATAATTTAATGCTATAATAAATACATTCTAGTCTAGTTAGGAGAAAAATATACAAAATCTCATTATGTACCTACAGCATTGACACTTACTAAAAAGAAAATAAGACACATATTTTATAATTAATTTCCTTTACGGAATAACATAAATTTATACATATAACAAACTTCTGAATCGAATCTATTTTACGGAAAATCTTATTGAAATAATCATTATTACCGATACAGAGAATCTATAGTTTTTAGAATGTTCGCCTGTCTGTGTGTGTTTGTTTGAAACGCATCACAAGAAAACTCCTGCACAGATTTTGATGAAATTTAGTATGATGATCCTACTCAACAAACGCACATATCAAATATTTCATTTGGCTGCACAGTTTTCAGTTATAGCCACGAATAACTGAGAATAAAAAATCTATATAAACTATAAAAGTACTTTTAGATTCATTGATAACCATCACCAAGATAATACTGTTTTACATACAAACAATTTTGCTTAAAATATGTATGTCATACATATAAAATTCTAACAAAGTCCAAGTAGGGGGAGTCATATCAGCAGTTTTTCAACGACTCCAAAAAAGGTTAAAGTACATAAATCGTGTACATGCGGTTTACGATGAAATCGGTTTACCTTCATGTTGTTAAAAAAGTACCTAATTATTATTGGTATTTTACCTTGTTTTTAACTTATTTTCTGATCTGTCTGTCTATCTATTTGTTTTTAGCATACATTTCTCAAAAGGGAGTAAATGAACAAAAATTTTATTTCAATCGCTCTCGTAGAAATAACGATTTACCTAGAGACCCTATACCAAGCTATCCCGAGCTTAGCGGAGTCTTCGTTAACGGTTGATTGACGTTAGTTTGAACTGAATAAACACAGGGGAGAAGCTGCAAGAAGTAACTAGTTATAGATAGAAAAAACACAAACTGGATTATATTGTCGTAGTTAAGGAAAAATATAAAAAACTCTCAGCTATTTAAATAATTTTACTTTCTTCAATATTTTGCATATTTTTTTCGACAACGTCTTGCTTACGCCAATCGTCAAAATTATTTTGAAAACCATGTACATCATTAACATTTCCCGTTAATTGCTTCAGCCAATCTGAATTTACTTCATAGTCGTTTACAGGCTGTTGACTTAAGTAATTGCCGATTCCGTAAGATTCAACACCACCGTATTTAGTATCGAAAGTAGGATCAACTATGACATGAGATTGAGTGTCACTATGAGGTATATAATTATCCTTTAGATGGGCATCGTTTTTATAGCCATCGTTGACGTATATTACTTTCTTCTCATATTTATCATTGAAAGCATTATTTCTGAGAAGCGTGAACACAGCCCCTGTAAGCGCCATATTGTTTAGCATTCCGGAAGCCAATGTCATCATTTTTAGTGACGGCAAGATGAAAGGCAAGATTGCGGACATGATGAGACCAGGCATTATAATAAATGGCATTAAAGTATAAAATTGTTTATATAGTTTTTTTACGGTGCCCCGTGCTGTTCCCTTCATATCATCTGGAAGAGAAAACATAATAAATATATAATACATATTTTTTTAGATATTATGTAATCCTTAAAAATATTTGTGAATTTGCATTATTTATAAGGTTTAATATATATTTAAAAAAATATAAGTATTATAGAGTAATATAAAGGCATTGAAAAAAATATAGAAAACCTTTGAATTCTGGTATGAAATTAATTAGGCTAGATCAAACATGAAAAAATGAAATAAGTATACTGTTAGATATAGTGGGAAAATGAGTTAAGTTCATTTTTAATATTTCAATCAAATGTAATTACTTTTTATTACGTCGACACTCAATAACCCGTTTCCCTTTACTGCTAGCTGCAATGTGTAGTCTTGGTCTAGATTTAGCTTCAGAGAGCGTCGCCGAAGTAGCTTTACAGTTTTATCACAAAGCTTAGTACTAAGATCGGAGTTAGAGATATTTTTAAAATATTGCCAGGAAAACTTATCACTATATAAAGTTGCAGGCATTTCACCGGATCGTAGAGCTTTTTCCGCTTGCCATATTCCAAAAGCTCCCAAACATTTAGTGATTCCCAGATTCATTACACATGTTTTAGCCGTATTCAAATTATTTTCATCTATTATATCCGAGAAATTCGTGTTGCGGTTCACGCGCGAATTTTGTGTTTGAATAAAACATGGCCACGTTGCGAAAATGAGGATAGCGGCGCTTGCGCGCATCGCTGCTGCCTGACTGACTTGGCGTAGCGGTCAATGTTCGTGCAAAACCTCGTGAGGAGGGATGTAATCAACAACTTGCTATGCTACAATGAATCTCATTTTATTATGAGTTTATATAACTCTGTAATTTTGCATGCAATTTAAAACACCGTTCAGTTTTTAAATTAAAACTTTTATAGTTTCACTTAGTTTTTATAACAAAACTATATTTAATAAAATAAAAAAATATCACCATGATATTTACAAGTAGCATTTGAATTGATTAATGTGATAAAATTAAATGATTTTAATTTAGTACAATTTCTATTTGATGCCGGACAAACATTAAATATTCGGCGAAAGTTGCTGCATTCCGAATTGGCAGGAAATGTCCCATATTGATCGTCAAATGCACATCATTTACATAGGCTCGGTCACGGACAGACGACCGCGTGTCGTCGCACCATAGTTTCACCAAACGTGCATCGCATCTTGATACAATTGTCATTAATTATCGCTTCACACGCAAAAAATTATCACTAATCATTTCGACGTTTTACGAAAGTGCAACAAATATTTCTAAATGCCAATTAAAGCCAAATGACAATTATGAAAGTGGAATAGGTATGCAAAGTTCTCACAAAGCGTTAAACTATAAGTTCTCGTTAAATGATATGGCCGATTACATGGGATATGAGCATGTGTGTCTTGGCGTTTTACTAAATATTTATAATATATGGTTGATTTATTTTATAATTAGTAAGTAATATGCACTAAAAGATATTTTATATTTATTTTTTACATGCATTTAAAAAAATAAATATTAGTATAATAGGCTAAAATGTTTGTACGACTAAAAATATTATATATTCCATATGATTTCCCATAATAAAGTAATGCTATATAAGAAGCTGATGTCATATTGATGCATAGATGTCGAATTAAATATAGGATCGCATATTGAAAACTACTTACCAAATCTCATTTACAGAAAAAATAATATCGAAAATTAAGTTTAGATTATCGCCAGTCTGCTGTTAGGCTTCTGTAATGCGATACTTGACCTTCTAAGGTCGCAAGTAAGACGTAGGTGACGCTTTGTTAGCTATTCAAGCAACAAGTAATAAATAGTTACTTTCACCTACGCACTGCTGATAGGGATCGGAGGAAGTTGTTATTGTCTAAGGGGAATGCATGCCCGTTAATGATTCGACTTTAGTCCTTAGGCGGCGGTCAATATCTGGGTCGATATTTCTACGGCACGATCACGTTGTCCTGCACTTTCTTTTCGGTGTTTGGTGATGCCGACCATTGTCTTCTGTAGGACACTTTATATCCTGGCAATCGATCATATCGGCATCAGTCAAACTCGAGCGAGCGTCCTGTGATCATCAATATTTTCCTGTGCAGTTTAAATTAGTCGCCAAAATGTGCAGAATGTTTGGTGTACTCTCATTAGTCTATGTGGCTATCTTCATGATAACGGTAGTGCATAGTAGTGAAGATAGACCTAGCACGGGTATTGTGGATTTTCTGGGTAAAGGTATTGTATTGCTATTAATTTGTTTTTTTTTTCGTTTTAGTTCTCAAAACTATATTATAAATATAAATAGAATTTAATTTTGTGTCCCGATCTGTATATGAGAATTCTATAATTTAATTAGCAATAATTTTGTTCATACATTCGAAATTTTAGTCTGATAACTTAATTAATGTCTAAGGGTTTTTACAAACTTGTACCAACATAAAGTTAACAAGCTTAATTTTATTTTTGTAAATTCAATTTTAAAAACCTTGTTGCTACTTGTAATTTAATTAGAAAAGCTTTTGAAAGTCTAAAAACAAGAATAGAATTGAAAATTTATTTATTTTCAAAAAAAACGCGTAGGTTTATATTAGATATGCTCGCTTTAAGCGTTAAAATATGTAATGTTAACCTAACCAACATATTTTTTCCTCAAAAAAAAAGCCAATTAGGTAAAAAACATAAATTTATGTATCCATCAATCGTGTCAAACAATAATCTATACATATAATAAAATTCTAACTAAGCCGAATCTGTACATTAAATATTTTTTGGAAAATCTTATTGAAATAGACATTATTATCGATACAGAGGCCGAATCTATAGGTTTTAGAATTTTTATCTATCTGTCTGTCTGTTACCGCATCACAGGAAAACCACTGGATATATAGGATACTTTTTACTGCGGGAAAATATCTCATTTCTGAGAAAAAATACAAAAAACTGCAATGTAAGAGTAAACTAATATGTAAAAAGGTTTTTAGTCGTCTGAACGTGGGCGGAGCCGCGGGCAATGCTAGGATATTATATTTTCGATCATTACTATAAAGGTATTTTATTATTTTTGTGTTACGTACCTACGTTAAATATGTAAAAAAAATATTTTAATTAATTCTTCAGACTTCATTACTTCTTCATTGGTTGACTAGAATCGTGATTATTTTTCTTTATTGCGTGATTTAAACTAAGTAATTTACTAGTACTCGTACTCATGCTATTCAGTCAACAATGTTATTTGTTTACAGCCAACGATACTAATTATCGTTATCTATATTGCGCCTTACTTTCTCTTTCATTCTAGTAAAAAATAATGAAGTGCTTCAAATTGGAGCAAAAGCGAAGCAAAATTATTTGAAGTGTTTTTTTTTTCTTTAATAAAATTACAAAGCTAGCTATAATGTAGAACTAATATAAATATTTATAGGTATAACCAATAAAATATGTATGTACCTATGATATTAAGGTATTTATTTATTATTTTAAGGATTGTTAAACATCATTATTTTCGATTCAATATTATTGATATGTATAATATTATCAAGTAAACTGTCCACCCACCCTTACCCAAAATTTTATATGGATAATAATTATTTATTGATGGCTTTAGAACAAAATTCCAACGCTATCACTTTTATAACACTTAAAATAGAGTCTTTTTGTAGATGCTAACGTCGGACGTACGTTTGGGCATAATGCCTTGAAGCGCCTTTCCTTCATCTTTCTACCTGTAATGTTCACGCTGGGGGTAATTTCTACCCTCCTCATGGCGTTGGCTGTCATATCTGTGAAAAACCTTGCGATTGGAGTAGTTCTTCTCATTGTTGCTGTCAGTCAGGTAATTATAGACTAGTTTATATGATTTCAAATTGTTCTTTTATAAAATTATTAATTAAATAATTTATAAACGATTACTTAATAATATACCGTAAAATTAGTTTTAAATAAACTTAAAAAACTTATAGATTTAAAAAACTAAAAAGAATTTGCTTTTCACCAACTGTGTACCTGTAAGACTCGTTATTTACGTCAGTCTTAATATTATTTTTCTATTTTTTCAAGGCGGTATCGAGGCTGTTCTCAGTGGCAGCAGCACCTTCACCGCTAGTATTTCATCCCAGAGCTGAGTTGCTCCCCGGGCCTGCATTGCCCGCTCCTTGGCCTGCATCAGGACCACTTCTATCACCCTGGGCCAGATCTGACAACGACGCTACTATATCTGATTAAATCCTAAATCCCACGAGCTGCAAAACGAAACGATTGGAATGGTATACGATAAGCCGTATTTGCATTTATTAGGATTAAAGCACTGTTTTCATAGTGACCATACTATAACATTGCTGGAAAGTCCCACCTTCGTCTGCCTCTCGCAAAAATATTTGTGGAAGTTAGACGACGACTTGTTTTAGTTTTAAGTTTATTTATTTTTTTGTTATGATTAAGAACAAATAATAAAAGTAATAATAAATGAAATACTTTTATTTATACCATATAATTAATGTATTAAACAGCAAAGTTTTTACTTCATACATATCATTGATGTTTTATATTAAATATATATAGAGAAAGTGTCGATATTAATATCATATAACAGAGCTATTATAATTCATTACCTTTTAGCTTTCTATCTATTGATAGAATGATTTTCTTCTTTATATATGTATTTTTTTGGCCTTGGTTGAATATACTAGTTAAGTAACAGTAAAAGTGCAAACACCGTATTACATATAGGTATACTTGGCCTGTATCCTAACTACACGCTCTAATAACATTACGATACACTAGCTTACAAGTATAGAGCAAGATAGCTATAGGTAATTTTATTAAATAAAACAAATTTGACTTCAAAAAGGAGGTGGTACTCAAAATCAACTCATCTGTATTTTTAACCTCCGACGCAAAATTGGGATGTTATAAAACGTATGTGTCTTATACCCGATTTCACCAACAACCCATAATCTACCACCTACGTATGGGACCCCTAGATTAAAAGTTCCCCTAAACTAGCCCCTAAATTAAATTTCGTTTTACCATCGTCTTTAAGCCCATATTTCGAGCACCTAAATTAGGGGGCCTTTTAACATTTAGGTGACCCCTAACTGTCGGTGAAACAGAAACTGTCCCCTAACAGCCCCCTAACTATGCTTAGGGGATCCCTTAAACTTAGGTGACGTTGGTGAAATTTGGCATTAGTTATCTTTGTGTCTGGCTATGGTATCGTAGCCCAAACAAATTGCAACTTGACTTAACCAACATTCTCGTGTTCTAGCTATATCAAAAAAATCCGTTCAGCCTTTTGCAGGCCAACAGCTACTTAACTCTCAACTAAAACACTGCAAAGATATCGTGTTTAATGAAATGACTGCACTGAATAGTTTGGGAATTTTTTAATTTAGCGGGTTTGTTATGCGATGTCATTGCCATTGTAGATCGATTTTAATAGTATTATTTTAAATAAATAAGTTACAACTTATCTCAAATTAAAAAAAAAACTTTTTAAAAACTACTTTTTCCTTTTTATTAATTATTTCAGTTTTCAGGCGACAAAAGGTCAAAAGAATAATTAATTATTATAGGAAAAGATTTGCATAACCGTCATGGTTGTGCGATGAAACTTCAAAGTAAAAAGAAATCTATCATGAAATGGTTGTTAGTATAAAGTTTTTCCCGCATCTGAAATATCGTGAAAGCGTATAAAATATACATATTTTATACTAGTTTTTTGTCGGCGGCTTCGCTTGTGTTTAATCGGCACTTAGTTTAGTCGTGTTTTTTGCACAACAAAATTATTTTATACAAATTACAACAGAACCACACATCCCACTTCTCCACCTTCACTTTTTGCGAGTGAAATTTTTCACGAATGCTAAATTCATATCGCATCAGAAAAAAGGTTTAGGTATACAAAGTTCACCAAATTCAATCTCTTCCCCTTTCCCCTTTAAGAAATTTCCAAAAAATTCCTTCTTCAGCAACTCATATTACCAAATTTTGTGATCCTAGTTTTAGTAATTTTCGTGAATGAATAATCAGTCAATACATATTTCGGTTTTGTATAAATATTAAGTAGATTTTTTTATTTTGTGTGTATCGATGATCTATGAAGATAGATAAGTTTCTAGCAATCAATTAAAAATAATTTTCTATAAAGAAATTTTCCACTTTTTTTTTCAACATTGTAAAATCTGAACCAAAATTTCAACTTTCACATTGATTGTTTCACTTTCAGGTTACTTGTTATACCTATGTGTAAAGTTAAATTTAAAAACCATGACATAATTTTTCGCGAAAGTGTAATCTTCCTTTTAGTAATACATATATAGGTTAAATACTTATACTTATTTACTTTATAGAGGGCATCGAAACAAGCCAGTAATGGTACAAGTTTCTAACCAGTTCTACAGTCGTTGTATCATCAAAATGTCTCTTTAGACCAGAAAATATTTTTATTATCACAGTGTTAATTATTATCAATTTCCATTGTTTTTAATGAAAGTTTAACTATAGCGTTTTATTAAATAGAAAGTAATAACAGAAAACGGGAGAAATGTGACGGGTGTCGTTACTTTCGTTCAGGATAAGATATTCAATAGCAAGGAGGGGCGCGCGCGCAGTGCATTAGCTTACTGGCCGTCAGCATGGCCGTACTGAATGTAATCCAGATTGTTTTAGCTCTTGTAGGCATAGTTACTGCTTTAGTAACAAAACCAAGCATACCAGTGCCACAACCTATTAGTAATAATGTAACGAATGTGCGCAAAATCGAACTATATGATGGCGTGTTTGTTAAATTACCGGAATATAATAATGATACAAGAAAAGTGATGTCTCTCGAGATTGATACAAATAAAGACTCGGAAACAGGTAAACTACTTTTTATTTTATATTTTTTCTAAAATACTTATTTTTTGCAGTATATAACTACATAAGGTACGAGAATAATTAAAATAAATACTGTTATACGTAGAAATAAATAATTACAAAATGTTAAGATTTTACTATTCATTCATATTTCATAACGTTTATAGACATAATAAATTTTCTCTGACATTATTCAACTTAGTGCCTATGTGTAAATTTATTTTATTTTATGTTTCTCTTTATTCATTTTGTACCATGTACGGATTTTATACAATTAACAGACAAATAGCGAGCAACCGCCGCAGCAGTCTAGGGGCCTCTACAATTTCTAGAGTATCATTCGATTAAGTACATTCTTTTGTTTTTTATGTAAAATAGTGGATTCATAAGTTTTGCGATATATTTTATGTGTTAACCGAATTCATAAAAGGAGGTTCTATGTTGTCTGTGTACCATTTTTTTTATTTACATTCACCGATTTCTCTGATACGGCTTGACCGTTTTTGCTAGTTTAAAATTAAAATCTATATATATAAAAGAAAGTCGTGTTAGTTACTTCGCTTATAACTCAAGAACGGCTGAACCGATTTAGCTGAAAATTGGCAGGGAGGTAGTTTAGAGCCAGGAGAAGGACATAGGATACTTTTTATCCCGTTCGACCGCGTTCCAATTTTTATGATATTTTAATTTTTGGATTTCTCTTAGTCCGGAATAGGTAAGTATTAAAACATATAATTAAAATGTGAGAAAGAAAGATTTTTTCTTTTTATATCTATTTAAAACGTACCTAGCGACGAACCCGAGCGAAGCGAGGGTGAGCCGCTAGTAGTGTATAAAGTAAAGGTGGTTTGACATAGAGTAGGTATATAGTTTTCGATAAAATCAGAATAAGCGATAAAATGTCAAGTAAGTATGTAAACAAATCTAGTAAATCTTTTTTTATTTACGATTAATTTTCATGTACAATATTTTTAAAGACATTTCTGATTCCGGCCTTAGAATAGAGGTAAGTAGTTAGTTCTAGTCACCGGAAGTTAGCGTACCAACATGTATAAGTGAAATAAGCACTTCCATCACAGCATTGCTTAAAGTTACACTTAAGTAAGTCAAACTAAGTGATAATAAATAAAGTGATTATATGCACTGATAAATTGGCACAGTTTGTAAAAAAAGTTGAAGAAAAAATGACTAGAAACAAAGTTTTTGAGAACTCTGACAGTTAATCATAAAATTAAATTACCGAGTTGTACAGCATTTTTATCTTTTTTTGGCCATTTAGAAAATACTGACAAAAACTTTTATAAAAGTAAGATTGCTACGCTCTTATACTACTTTGAAAAAAACTACTATCATATAGGTGATACTTTGACTGTAGTTGCGCAAATTAGTCTAAAATCTAAAGTGAAATAAAATGCAAAGTGTCATAGGCTATATAAAAGTAGTTAAAAATTAAAATGGTAGATTTCAAGTGCCAATTTGTGTCTTAAAAAAATCTCAAAAACAATCCATTGGGATATCAAAATAAAGGTTTTAAGAGGCGATCACAGAAATATATGCAACTTATGTGTTTAAAAGTAATTTAGGATAAAAATGGCTAACTAAAAAGCTGTAAATAAAAAATATGTTATAAAAATAAAAAAACCCTGACAGCACAAAAGCTAACCACCTACATGAAAAGATAAAAACAAGTTGATTAAGAAATATAGTATTATGCAGTCGGAGACACATAGCTATGTATGCATATAGTGGGTACAATGTACATTGTACATCTCACAAAGATGAAAGGAGTATATCTCCGGCTGCATAATATTTACTATATTCCTTCGACAACTTGTTTTCATCGTTTTAGTTAGCTTTTATACAGTCGGTTATTTATTTTTACATTTTTTTTAATCTAATTAACTTTGTGACCCCTAAAAATCGTTGACCATACATGGTGGATAAATCGATAGGTATTGAGGTCCTCGACCCGTCTGCCAGCTTTGATCCATCAGTCATGTAGTTACATTTGTTTATTATCGATGCGCGAATCCAATTTGCACTTGATCATTTTATTCACTTTTTTGGCAACTGTTTAAAATTAAGTGAAATTGTTATTTGCCAGTTGCAATGATCTTTAAACTCGAACAAAGATATTCTTGCCGCGATTTCCTGTTAAGTAGACCACGACTAACAGTTGTTTCCGAAGTAGAGTATATTATGTGCGCACTTATATAGAATAATAAAATTGAACCCATTATTCCTCGGCACGCGCCACCGTGTCTCGATCAGCATGTCAGAATAATATTTAATTCTAATAACAATTATCGAAGCGTCTCTAAAATGCCTTCAATAACCTAATAATATTGTATCTCTGTGCAAAGATAGCACAAACTTTTATCCATTTCTACTTAAAACTATTTTTTTCAGTTTCGCAACCAAAGACTCCAACGGGAACCCTATTACTAACCCTTTTTTTTTTTAACGTTGGGAAATGCATTTACGCACGAGGTGTGGGACTCACCGGCAAAGCCAGTACTACCAACTAAAACCCAACAAAACCTTCCCCCGTCTTAATGGGGCGTCGTAGGATCGCTTACGCATTCAACTACGACGCCCCGACGGCAGGTCTGCCGAAGCAGACCACAACAACCACGGGGTTGCTCCAAGGTCCACTCTGCTATCAGAGAAGTACCAGGAGCAACCCGCATGGTACACTGCCCTCCGAAGAGGGCCACCTCCCACCGCCCACCGAAGTGGGCCACCTCCCTGTGCGTTTCTTGGCTTCGCGCCCGGTTGGGTCGCCGGGCACTACTGAGCCCCCCCACCACGACAAGGTGAACGCACGTTGGGGGGGACCCTATTACTAACCCTATGTTGTGAGTTGTCCACTTGTTTATGCATCTGTCCTTTTAGAGGGTTTTATCTTTTAAATTGTAATGGAAAACCGGATTAAATTCTCACGTAATAAGTAATACTGTTATAAATAACGGCAGATATCCGGATTTGAAATGAAAAAAATAAAATAAACAGTTAACGGGCCCTACAACAATCGTGTTTTGTTATTTTCTTTTTTGCCCTATTGTAAAAACATCGTTGAACAAAGCAAAACACAGATAGACTGCGTCGAACTTTGGAGATAAATAGTTCGTTTTTCCTGTTAAGAGTATAAAGATTACACGTGTAAAAATATGAGTAGATACGTCTAAAAGTGCTCAGTACGATTTCTCTATCTAATTCAACTTCTTTCTAATGTGTAATTTGTATTCAATAAAATATAAGTGCCATTTTAATACATATAATAAAATAAAATAAATTAAATAAAATGCCTATTTATTGACAAATAACTCATATATTATAGGTATTTTTTAATAAAAAAAAAGTGAAAAGAGACCGTAGAAAAATTTACCTATTATTTTTATAGCAGGCATTAAGAAAGTTACGTAAGATTAGAGTTTAGATCATACTTTTACCATTGTATTACACATTGTACTACACAATAACAATAAAAATTAACGGAATACAATATATAATAATTTTTAATTGGATACATATTTTATTTACAACACGGAAGCTTAGGCTTAGACTAAATTACATATTTAAAAAAAAACTAATAAATTCAAACATCTAATAAAGTAAGCCGATCCTATAATTGATCCCTATAATTAATTGTACGGACTCTTAATTATAACTTTTTAACAAAAATGGTACACTTCAAATACACTTAAAAGTAAATATTTCACCCTATAAATGGAATCTCTTTTAATTTTATATCGGATCACGGATTAAAAAGGAATTGGCAAAGTCTATGTTTACTTTACAGAAAAGCGCTTACTACTTTAAAGTGTTTAAAAGACTATAGGTATTCCACGGAAAATTAAATGCGTATTAAAATTTAAAATTGAAATGCTCATTTTTTACGTACAACAATATAAAAAAATACATGAAATATAATAAAATGTGAAACTGAAAGTTGGAGATCGCAACCGCGATTGTAAGTTGAATTTTAATGACAAATATATTAATTAGGCTGACCCTATTGATACAGTAACTGTACAAATAATTTATTATTATTACCGGATTAATAGTCAATTTCATTATAATACTTTAGAGTAGTAGTAGTAGAAGTTGCATATCAATATCAACGACTTAAAAACTAATTTCTTGTTTGGTCTCCCTCTCATTGCTTTAAGCTAACGTTAAAAAAAAATTTTTTTTTTTCATTCCCAAAGATAATAATAATCATGGCTGTCAAATCAGATCAGAGTCTGATGGCAATTACGTAGGTCTCAAGAACATAGAGAACTATGCAGATTGTATTGGATATATAGAAATATTTATGAAAATTATTGGTTCTCTAATTATTATATATCTCAGTAAAATTTTGGAAATAAAAGTATTCTTGGTCAAATGCTGACATGGTACAGGAGAAGTGCGGCATTGCACACGTTACATCGTTACAAACAGAAAAGTCACTCCACCTCTATCGTCAAGCGACGCCACAGTCGTTTTGTTGTTTTGCAATGGCCGCCTTATATCGTTGCCTGAACGCGGAATATAGTAACATCTTATAAAGTAGTATTTCATTTACTACACAGAGAAAATGAAATAGAAATTTAATGTTCATTCACTCATTCATTCATTCACTTATAATCCATTCATTCATCCACTTAATATAATTTAAGTATTTAATTGACATAATTTTATGAAATAAATTTATTTGTTTCAGGTCGTGGAAAACAAAAGAAGTTAATGCAACGAATTCTGCCTCTCTTCATAATGCCGTTTGTAATACAATCCGCAATAGTGCCAATATTCCTTGGCGTACTCAAATTTATGCTGTTTAAGTCTTTAATGATCGGAAAATTGGCATTGGTTCTAATTATTATAAATTCTTTTAGAAATAGTAACTCCTTTAAGGCAAGGCAAGATGAAAGTATAGCAGATTTACATTATGGTTACCATGGAAACGGCATGGAAGAATACGGCTCATATTTCAATTCGTAGCCGTCTAAGTTATTGTATTTAAAATTTAAATCTGTTACGGCCAAAGTTAAAGACTAATAAATATTATTTTCAAGACATATTTATATCAATGAATGATGAAATGTTATATTTAGTATGACTTGTTGACTTCTGAAGCTCGTAAGTTTTCCAATACCTCTTAAGTCTTACCTAGGAAATAATTATAATGGCCACCTACTCGATTTTATCGTATGTACATTTTTTATCACAACGCTCTCTCAACTTTGAGTATTTCTGTGTTATTTATTGTACTTCCTTTAATTTTTTACTTTTTGTATTGATTTTATATAAGATATAAATTAAAATTATAACTACTAATAGAATACACAATAATACAGATAGAAAATTCCGGCATAACGTGTCTAATACGTAAGTTTAATTAACTATTGTTACGGTTTTTTTTAAACTCCGGTTCAAACGGAAGAGGAAATGAAAAAAAATGATATATATTTACTATGCGCCAGTCCAGTTTTCTAATGCACAAAGTGTAAACACACCTGCATAAACATCGTTTTTTTTTACATTTAAAGTATATGTAGGAATAGTATTTTAAAATTTATCTGTATAATGTTTTAAGTACTTAATATGTTTTAATTTATTAAATAGCTCTTGCAATATTTTTTTGTTATTTATATTTTTACAACTTTTATGATAAGACTAGCATTGCCCGCGGCTCCGCCCGCGTTCAGATGACCAAATTCGTAGGTTTTACATATTAGGATACTCTTAAATTGCAGTTTTTGTATTTTTTCTCAGAAATGACATTTTCCCGTAATCTCTGTAAATCCCTGTAATTTTAACATTCATCTACCTATATGTCGGTCTGTCACAGCCTATTCCCGGCCAATTTACTGAATGGCAATGTTAAAATTTCTGTCATAAACTGTGTTAACAACCAACGTCAAGTAGCATGTAATGATGATTAAACATTTTATGATTTGATTTTCATACTCTAAAAGATCTTTAAAGTGCACCATGTGATGTGATAATTTAAATAAAAAGCTATTTTTGTCCAAAACTACTATTAAATGAATTATTGTTGTTAATTGTAACAAAAACGATGATGTCTCCGCCTAAATCTAACTTGTCTTTACCAGTAAAGCTCATAATGGAAATGTACTTTAGGCAATTAATATAGAATAGAGATCAAACAAAAAATACCGAGTAACTTATCAAGCGATTTTAACGAATCAGCTTAATAGGTATATAACAACCTCCAGGTCAATTTCTAAGAAATTAATTAAAATTCTAAGAAATCTATTGTTAACTATAACGCCGACGTGCCCGCGGTCGTGGAGGGATTAATATATAATAATTAAGATTTTTAATCATACAATTATTTATTGAGTAGGTAAATAAATTAAAAAAAATCAGTCGTTTAAAATAAAATTTCACATTTTGAAATGTAAATTTAAAATTTCTTGATTGTGGAATAAGGAGTTCATAACAATAAATATTTAGGTAAAAAACCAGCTCTTTCATCTGCATTTACTATATGCTCAAGTCACTTATTCGTATAGGTATTATATTATAATGTTCAAGTCATTGTCGACAATGCGATCGTGATCGCAAATATTGAGTACCTATTAATCTAGAGATTGTGGACCATTTTTGGTAATCAAATATTGTGCACATTGTTTATTAAGAAACAATTATCATTAAGTATTTATTTTAGCTGTAAGCCTTGCACAGTGGGGAAGATGTAAATTACTTTACGTTATCATTATTTTTTAACAGACATTGTTCTTTTATTAGCGTACCTACTGTACCTATATAAACTGCTATAATTTTTTATTGTATACTTTAAAATAAATTAAAAAAACATATGTGGTTGTGGTGTACAGCATTATTGCTCGTAATTAGAAAGTAAAAATAAGCTGTGCACACACGAAATAATATAATACGTGTCTTACGCGTAAAAAGAGTAATTAATTCGCCAGTAAAAATATGTATGTTTAATTAATTTCTTCCTAACTTTATTTTGTACGAAGTTTTGATAGAGTTACTTTCTTTAATAAAATTGATGTTACTGAATATGAAATACATATAATATTTTTAATATAAAACGTTGCATTATTTTTGTGTTACCTACTTACTTTTAATAATAATACTAGCTTCTTGCAGTGACTTCAGCTATATATTATGTATTTATTTTTATTTAATTGTCTTAATGTATGTACTTACTTTTGCAAAATTTGTTTTTATTCATCTAATCCCCCGAAAAATCCTCACTTTTTTTAGTGACACTAAAGTTTAGGTTAAAGTTAAACAATAATTGCAATTACTTTGGCAATAGGCTCGCTGTCTGATTAGAAGACAACACATGTGTAGGAATTTATAAAATAAAATTTCAAAATTACTGTATTAAGATTTTACAAAAATAAATAAATGTGAAACGTAAATAATGAATGAAATGTAAAAAATCTTTTTGACTATCTGTTTGCTTGTTCATTTGTGAATGTATCATGCAAAACTACTTATTAAATTCAAAACCTAATTGTTGACAGAGGTACCGAATAATACCATCATATACAGGATGCAGCAAATGGACGCGACATGAATAAAACTTAAAAATATACCTTGTACCTATATACATATTAGAGTGGGCCGAATTTTTTTTTCTCAATTTTTTTTCTATTAGTCAAAATATAATGTATAAGATAAATAACAAGCCTGTAAAATATTATTTAAATATTTTCAGTGGAACAGCCCGCGCATTGCACTTTATAAAATTTAAATAATGTAAAAGTTGTGTAAATGAGTATACGATACTAACACCCTTAAAAATATTGTGGTAGATAAAAACTATTCTGAAGTATTGTTATTGAAATGTTAAGTGATTATTAGCTAAGATTGTTGACTTAAAGCTTAGTTTGTGTTACCTAAAGAGGGTAGTAATAAGTGGTCGTGGGCTTATTTTGTCACTCAGTTACGTTGGTGTTTTAATTTGACTTTGGTGCAAGAAGAACAATATTATATACGTGAAATTAACTAAAATCTGTCGTGTCTAAATAATTTGTTTGTTTCTTTTTGAATATATAAAAAAATAAAAAGATTTCAAGAAGACAAACTCATCAGTCTCCCATTTTCGGAAGTATTGAAGACAATAAGGACAATATGTTACCAATTTACAAAGATATCATGAAATGTTATGAATGGAATAGACTACAGCTGAAAATTAGCACTAATACAAAGAAAGAATTACCTTTTTAGAAATTGCCGATAGGAAAAGCATCACTTCCTACTGTGTCGCACACAAGAACAATTCAGCTCATAAAAGCTTATCATTTAAGTACAAAAATCTTATCAAATCTCTAAAAACAATGTCCGAAGATCAAAAAAATGGGTTCTTGGAGAGTTTTATTTGACATTTAAAGTTAAAAACAATGTAATTGTACGAGAGAGCATAAACCCCATAAAGAAGAACAAAAGTTTTTGATTGATCAGGAGAGAGTAAATGAAAACAGCAGGAATTAGTGTCATCTTTGAGTGATTCTGAAGATAGTGTGTCTTCTTATGATCTAATTTTACCATTCACATCATAAGAAGACACGAACAGTAAAAATACTATTAAAAATTTGAATTGAATTTGTCAAAAAACTGCGACCGATATGGTATTTCTGACAGAGCAGTTCCTGCACTTGTTTCTTTTGTATTGTACGATATAAGTATACAGATCTTGAAGTGATTGATAAATCAAAAATATGCCGGAAAGAACGTGAGGAATTATCTAAGCAACAAACATAGGTTCAATTGATTTCTTTATCTATTTCGATCGCTCAGTAAAAATAATGACAGAAGCATCTATAAGTAAAATGTCTTTATAAGGTCAAGCTAAGTTATATTTGAGTTTTCATTCATTTTTGTGCTTTTTCTTTAACAAATATTGATTTTTATATGAAAAATTGTAGGTTTTTAATTAAATAATTAGGATTGATTTTACCTTGTTTTGTTTTTAATTTTCTTCAACTTTGAACCACATGCGCGGGCTAAAGATTCAACTTACTTTTACTTTTTTTACCTAAAATAATTTGTTTACTCATAAGACAATAAAATATCGCTATTAGAATGCAATCACAAAACTTTATTTTTTTTTCATATATGAGCGACCCACCCTAATACATACCCTTACATTTTGTATCTAAGTAGTAAGATATTTAAATGGAATTCATTTTTATCGTGCAGTATAAATTGAATTTCTTTGTAACAATGTTTATTTTTTAAAAGGGTTAATATTTTATAGTGCTACTTTTATGAGCTGTTATAAGGTCAGGACGGACTCATCAATAAAGTGGCAACAGTTGCTTACACGCTTGATTTTTGTATATCATAGTAACAAAGCACACCGACTTCGAAAATATTTAATTAGGTACGTATAGTAAATGAAAACTACTAATCAGTTATTTTTTACTTTTTAGTGCTTTTGTTTGAAGTCGGTTTTTATTTTTTTGTTAAAAAGTTTTTATTTTTCTCTTTTTAGTGTAGACAGTAGTAGCAAAGTAAGAATTCTAAAATGTTAGGCTTGTCAAACCAAACAAAATAAGCCCAAACTCAAAGTATCTACTATTAGTCGTTGAAGAGTTCCACCTATCCACCTTCTGGGCTTACCATCAGATCAGGTCAACAATACCGAACCACTGTACTATCAACGGAAATAGAAACACTTGCAAAGTTTCAAGTCAATATGACAATTAGAAGTAGGTTAAATTAATTATTAGCTATTCTTCCACCCTTAGGGGTGGAATTTTTTTTTGAAATTTAAATGGGACCAATCTGGAAGTATACCCTTTCAAACAAAACAAAAATTGTCCAAATGGGTTAGTACATGACGAAGTTCTGAGGTAACAAACATAAATATAAATAAAAATAAAAATACAGTCGAATTGAGAACCTCCTCCTTTTTGATTATCTTAACACTTTTATTTTATTCACAATGATTCATAAAAATATATAATAATAATAACAGTCATAATGTAGAC